TAAAATACCTAAAGTAAAGTATTTACCAATAACCAATTACAACAAAATTAACCAACAAAATTAACCTAAAATACTTAACCTAAAGCATTTACCAATTACCAATTTACCACAAAATTAACCTAAAATCATTTACCAATTATCAATTACCACAAATCCACAATATAAAAATTAACCTAAAATACTAGACGAAATTGAAATTGGAAATTATAATTTTAGTTGTTTAGTGTTTACCCAAGAGATGAATGAAGAGAAGTCTAGAAGAAGAGCCTCTGGGCTCTGCGCCTCTGCCGACTGCTTAGGGCCCAAGAAGTAGAAAGCTTGCACTGTTGCTGACTTGTTGTGTTGCACACAGCCACACAGTCGGACCGGTGAGAGGCGGTGCAGGCGAGGCGGCAGCACAGCGCAGCGGCACGGCACAGCGCACAGCCTCGCAGTCGCAGATGGCAGATTCGAAGTCGCAGTCGCTAGACCTAGACGCCTCACGCCTAGACGCACGGTATTCAATTTCAGGTATGTCTTCACAGCTTCACTCTTCTTCACTCCCTTCAGCCTTCATTCACAATCACAATTCACAGATTCACAACTCGTTTCTTGGTCTTGGGCTCTTGGCTGAAGAGGGAGGGGCCTCCTACCTCATCTTGTTGGGGGGCCCAATTACACCAAATCTCAAAATACAAGTAAAAAAAAAATTTGGGCTTTCATATAAGATTTTTGTTGGGGGCCCAGGACCCCAACCCCTTCTTAGTGCGTCCGCCCCTGCCACAGTTGATATCACGATGGTCTCAAAGTTTTACTTGGTGTGTTTTTGGTATCACATTGTGTATCTTGGTGTATTTTGGGTATCAAATGGTGTTCGTCGGAGGTCGGAGTTAGGAGAGAAAGAGAGGAGAGATAAAAAAAATTAAAATAACTAAAATGTCATTTAATTATAATTTTAAGTCAAATTACCAAAAATATTAGTTTCCTAATTTATCTATTGATCTGTGGTTGAAATTGGATCTCACAATTATCACAAACTAATCAGTTCTTCATTAAATTAACCACTATATATATATAGACTTGAGATCATGTGAGACCAAGGATTTTTCGTGAGACACGTAAGACCAATTCTCAACCCTTGGATTAGATCAATAATTTGAACATTCAATCACAAAATTGTCACGAGACTTCTCAATAATCACAAAATTGTCATCGTGCAACTTTAGACCATTAGATCATTAGCTTATAAAATTGATC